GGTTAATATCCCATAACCCTCAAGAATGAGGCATTGCTTCCATTTGGGAAATTAACCACAAATTTGGGTTCTCTTCCTGCATTTATTCTCTAGACCAGCAAATTATAGGACGAGACATCAGTGGGGTTTTGCTAAGCACCATTAAACAAGTTTTAACAATAGAAGCTGGTAACATGCAATTAAGTCAATCCACTAACAAAAGCTTGATCTAGCAAACACTCCTTCTCCCTCCAGCAGCTTTTTAGTAACTTTCCATGTCAATTTAGTAACCTGTCTGTCTTTGAACCAGCAGCCTTGCTGTGTTACGATTCTTATCTTACAACACAGACTAAATAGCCTGGGGAAAATTTCCTGTTTTTTGTAAGGTCAATAATTGAAACTGCAAGGCTTTGGAAAACCAGGTCCTGTGAAGTACATTTGCTTTATGAATCCTCTACAGCAAACAATCCAGCGTTACTGGAATCTACTCTTAGGAAACATAAAATCCTGCCAGGTTACAATTCAGATTATGTTAATTATCCTGAGCTTGAGCTTAAACATTCTTTGAAAAATAGGACATAACATTAACCATTTATTAAGAATTTAGGTATCAGGTAGATCTTAGAAATATCCCCATAAGATAAAATTCAAAGAAGTTAAGTAACATAGGAAAAGCAGAGTTGGGTAGTTGCTTGTAACTTCCATACTATGCTTGTTTCACTGTGCCTCTCAGCCTCTCATGATCAGAAATAGTGTGTACAATATCCACGGATAATATCTACCACAATTAGAAATCCCACCAAGAGTCAGCTACACAGAGAGCTCCCTGTTTTCTTACCTAACACACTACTGACATCTTATTTTAAAATAGGATGTCTGAAAGTAAAGCAATGGCATTCATGCATTGAAGGATTCTCCTCTTTCCCCAAATAAATCAGTATAAAATTCCATACTGTGTTTTGGGCAGATGCTGCTTCCCTCAGGTCCTGGCAACAGTGGATGAGAATCTTTGTGAGGATCGTGTGTGTTTGGGGACCCATCCTGCTGCCCCCGGGGGGCAGAGGAAGTTGATTCAGGACCCTTTGGCCTTTTAAGCCTGCTATGGGGATAAGGATAGGTGGTGTGGTAGATACTGCTCTTTAAACTCTGAGTCTGAATGGACCATGAGTAGGAATGGTGAGAGAAAGGAGACTGTCTTTATCACATTCTATACCAGTAGCCAAATAGGCCTTTGCAGACCATGCATACGTGCCCTACACACCTAGATGACCCTCTGAGCCTTCCCGCAACAGGGGAGAGGTCTGTGAAAGAATACCTTTAGGGGACAATGATCTTTTATGATCAAACAAGCTATAACACCCTGAAAATAGGACTCCCCCAGCGTGATCAGGATATACGAGTGCTATCTCCAAGAGCAGGAGACTTCAGGGAGGGGCTTTTGCCAAGCATAGCTGGTTCTGTCTAAAGAGGCTTCTCAAGAACACTCCCCACCAAGACCTTGGCTAAGGTCAGTCCCTTTACCATCATGCAAAAAAATTCCATTCCTGACCAGGCAATTAATGTGATACTGAGTTCTGTTAACTGAGAGATAGTTTACAGTGACCATCAAGATGGTGGAATAGATGGTCCCCAACATCACTCTGTCCCACAATGGAAAAATTTACAACTATTAAAAAGCAAAGACTGTGGGCCGGCCTGGTGGCGCACTGGAGAGTGCGCCACTTGGGAGTGCGGCGGCGCTCCCACCGAGGGTTCGGATCCCATGTGGAGACCGGTTCCCGCTCACTGGCTGAGCGTGGTGCGGGCACAACACCGAGGGTTGCGATCTCGTTACCAGTCAGTAAAAAAGACAAAAAGGAAAAAAAAATTAAAAAAAAAAAAAAGCAAAGACTGCCAACCTGGGACCTCTAGAGTTCATGGGAAGAAGAGGAGAAACCCACAAAATTTGTGAAGGTGGGAGAAGCTGTGGCAAGAGGAACAAGAAACAGCTCTAACAGTTTCAAGTCCCGGCCACTTCAGGGCTGGTCCTGTGAGAGGCAGGAATAAGCTGCAGCACATGGAGCAGAAGCCAGCAAAAGCTGCAGCTATGGCCTTTGCATGAAGCTGCCTGGAATCTGCAGGGGAGAAGAGGGCCTCAGAATGTACTGTGCCACCCCTCAGGCTAGGAAGACCACTGGCAGGGGTACTGTGGACCCACATAAGAGCAAGGGCCACAGCCGACCAAAGGAACCACCCAGAGGCCAGTAAGCCATCACAGGGGACTTGCACAAGGCCCACCCATGGGAAGCATTTGGAGTGCAGAAGGAAGGCTGGCCCTCCAGGAGAACATTAGGGTGCAGTGTGGGCAGTGATCTTCCTTCTGATCTGCACAGGCCCACACATTGGAGAGTGGTCAGGGAGATAAAATGGCAGGGGGCACAGTTTGCTGTAAAGAATCAGTCCCAAGCCAGAATTTCCACATAGCTCAGGTGTATCTGACCTCACAAGACCTGGAAGTGACTAAAAGGCCAACAATTAAAATCTGGTCTGAACAAAAAGCCTTCCCTAAAGAATCAGCCGCAAAGCAGCAGTTTAGCAGAACCACAGAACTCAAGTTCTGGTCCCCACAGGAAATTCCCCTATTTTTGGAATTAAGAAAAACCACAGCCAGTGACAAAGCTCTAATATTAACCAGTAATTGTCTAATGCCACCAAAGAACACCTATAAAACCTAGAAGAGGCATCAGTCTCCTCAAATTCCCAGGCAGCTATATAAAGACACAAAGATTGAGAAAGAACAGAGAAATAAGATACCAACAAATGAAGCACCAGCAATAGAGGAACAGAGGATTTATGAAATGTCTGACAGAGAATTCAGAATAACCCTCTTAAGGATGTTCAGGGAGTCAGAAGAAAATACAGATAGAAAATTAAATGATATCTAGAAAACAATCCAGGAGAAGAGTAAGAATCTTGACAAAGGAATTGAATCAATTTTTTAAAAAATAGAAATTCTAGAAACAAAGAATACATTATCTGAACTGAAAAACTCAATAGAAAGCTCCAACAGTGGACTTTAACAGAAGAAAGAATTAATGTGCTTGAAGACAGAACATATGAAATTACCAGATCAGAGAAGCAAAAGGAAAAAAGAATAAGAAAAAAATGAAACAGAAATACAGCAAAAATGGGACTCTCTCAAGTGAAATAGCCTTTGCATAATTGCATATCTGAAGGAGAAAAAAAGGAAGAGATATAGAAATCATATTCAAAAAAATAATGGCTGAAAATTTCCCAAGTACGGAGAAAGATGACAGCATCCAGGTACAGGAAAATCTGAGGTCACCAATCAAATTCAATCTAAGGAGGAACACCCCAAGGTACACCATGATCAAATTATCAAAAACCAAAGACCAAGAAAGAATACTGAAAGTAGCAAGAGGAAGGAAATACATAACATTCAGTGGATCCTCAATACATCTATCAGTGGATTTCTCAGTAGAACCCTGCAGGCCAGAAGGGAATGGGATGACATATTCAGGGTGCTGAAGGGAAAGACCAGCAGCCAAGAATTCTCTGTCCAGCAAAACTAACCTTCAAATATGAAGGAGAAATAAAGTCTTTCCTAGACAAACAAAAGCTAAGAGAATTTATCAGTGCTAGATCTGCATTATGAGAAATGCTAAAGGAAGTTCTTTAATCTGAAAAAAAGACAATGCTAAGAAACAGCAAGAAAAAACTTGAAGGTACATAATTTTTTAGTAAAATAAATTCACAGAAAACCTCAGAATGCTCCAATGTCATAAGGGTGAAGAATAAACCACTTACATCCTTAGTATGAAGAATAAAGGACACCAGCATATACAATGACCATATAAGAGATATGTCATATCAAAAGATGTAACTTGAAACAACAAATTGTCAAAAAGTGTGTGTGTGGCGGGGGGGGTGATGCCAAAGTGTAGAGTTGGTTTTGTTTTATTTTGTTTTTTTCTTAGATATCAATGTACAGTTATTATTAGTCTAAAATAATCTGTTATAACTTTAGCATGTTCTATTGTAAACCTCATGATAACCATAATGCAAAAACGTATAAGACATACAAAAAATAAATAGCAAGAAATCAAAATACACTGCTAGAAAAAACCACTCAATCACAAAGGAAGACAATGAGATTGGAAAAAAAGAAAAAAAAAGTATCAATAAAACAACCAGAAAAAAAAAAAAAAGAACAAAATGGCAGGAACAATTCCCTATATAACAATAATAACTCTAAATGTTGACTGATTAAATGCCCCAATTAAAAGACACAGAGTGGCTCAATGGATTATAAAACAAGAAACAACAATATGCTGCCTACAAGAAACTCATTTCACCTATATAAAGATACATGCCATCTGAAAGTAAAGGGATAGGAAAAAGATACTTTATGGAAATAGGAACTAGAAGAGCAGAAGTAGCTCTACTTATATCAAATAAAATAGACTTCAAGAAAGGAAATTTTAAAAAGATAAGAAAAGCCATTAAATAATGATAAGGGGACCAATTCAACAAGAGAATTTAACAATTCTATATGTATATGGGCCCAGCTCTGGAGCACCCAGTTACATAAAGGAATTACTATTAGACCTAATGGAAGAAAAAGACTGCAACACAATAATAGCTGAGGACTTTAATGTCCCACTTTCAGCAGAGGACAGATTATCCAGACAGAAAATAAACTAGGAAACATCAAAAGTAATCTCTACTCTAGGCTGATTGGATATAACAGACATATATAGAGCATTTCATCCAACTGCTGAATAATGCACATTCTTCTCAGTAATATATGGAAAATTGTCAAGAACAGGTTACATGTTAGGTCACAAGATAAGTTTCAACAAATTTTTAAAAATTGAAATGATATCAACTACCTTGTCTGACCACAATGGAATGAAACTAGAAATCAGCAACAAAGGGGATACTAAAAACCACACAAATACATGGAAATTAAACAACATGCTCCTGAACAATGAATAGGTCAAAGAGTAAATCAAAAAGGAAATTTTAAAAATTTTTGAGACAAATGAAAATGAAAACATAATGAACCTACGGGATACAGCAAAAGCAGTTCTAAGAGGGAAATTTATAATAATAAATGCCTACATCAAAAAAGAAGAAATACTTCAAATAAACAGCCCAACATTACACCTGAAGAAGCTGGAAAAACAAGAACAAACCAAACCCAAAATTGGTAGAAGGAGAGAAATAAAAATCAGAGCAGAAATAAATCAATTAGAGATTTTAAAAAATACAAAAGATGGATGAAACAAAGAGATTTTTTTTTCAAAAAGATAAGCAAAATCAATAAACTGCTAGCTAGATTAATGAAGAAAAAAAGAGAGAAGACTAATAGAAATAAAGTCAGTAATGAAAGAAGGAGACATTACTAATGATAATAGAAATACAAAGGATCATAAGACTACTATAAACAACTTATGTGAACAAACTGGAAAACCTAGAAGAAATGCATAAATTTCTGGACACATACACATTGAACCATGAAGAACCAGAAAATTTAAACAGACCAATAACAAGTAATGAGATTGAAGAAGTAATAAAAAGTCTCCCAACAAGAAAACTCTATGACCAGATGGCTTCCCTGCCAAATTCTACAGAACATTTAAAGAAGAACTACCACCAATTCTTCTCAAACTCTCAAAAAATTGAAGAGGAGGAAATACTTCCAAACTCATTCTATGAGGCCAACATTAACCTCATACCAAAACCAGGAAAGGACACAACAAACAAAAGAAAACTATAGATCAAAAACACAGGTGAGAAGAGCCTCAGTAAAATACTAGCAAACAGAATCCAACAACACGTTAAAAAGATCATTCATCATGATCAAGTGGGAATCATCCCAGGGATGCAAGGATGGTTCAACATATGCAGATCAATAAATGTGATACATCACATCAGCAGAATGCAGGGGGAAAAAATGATCATTTCAATAGATGCAGAAAAGGCATTTGAAAACTTCCAATACTGCTTCATGATAAAAACACTCAACAAATTACATATAGAAGGAATGTACCTCAACACAATAAAGGCCATATATGACAAACCCACAGCTGAGATCATACTGAATGGGAAAAAACAGAGACTTTGCCTCTAATACATGGAACAAGACAAGTATGCCTATTCTACCCACTCTTATTTAACACAGTACTGGAAGTGCTAGCCAGCACAATATGGAAAGAGAAAGCAATAAAGGGCATCCAAATTGGAAAGGAGGAAGTCAAACTAAGCCTATTTGCAGATGACATAATCATATACATAGAAAAACCTAAAGACTACACCAAAAAAATTCTAGAACTAATAAATGAATTCAGTAAAGTGTCAGTATACAAAATCAACACACAAAAGACAGTAGCCTTCCAATATGCCAATAATGAAATAGGTGAAGAAGAAATGGAGAAAGTAATGCCATTCACAATAGCTACCAAAAAATTGAAATACCTAGGAGTAAATTTAACCAAGGAAGTGAAAGATCTCTACAATGAAAACTAAAACTTTGGTGAAAAATAATTGAAGAGGATAGAAATGGAAAGACATCCCATGTTCTTGGGTGGGAAGAATTAACATCATCAAAATGTCCATTTTATCCAAAGCAATATACACATTCAACACAGTCCTTATCAAAAAAACCAATGACATTTTTCACAGAAATATTAAAAACAATCTTAGAATTTGTATGGAACCACAAAGGAACCCATATAGCTAAAGCAATCTTGAACAAAAAGAACAAAGTTTTTTCCAATCTGGATGCCCTTTATTGCTTTCTCTTACCTGATTGTTCTGATTAGTACTAGCAATGCTATGTTAAATAGGAGTAATGACAGTGAGCACTCTTGTCTTTTTCCTGTTCCTAAAAAGTTCTTTCAGCTTTTCCCTATTCAAGATGATATTGGTGGCAGGTATGTCATATGTGGCTTTTATTGTGTGGAGATATTTTTCTTCCATACCTAATTTGCTGAGAATTTTTAATCATGAAATGATGATAACTTTTGTTGAATGTTTTTTCTGTATCTATTGAAATAATCATATGGTTTTTGTCCTTGATTTTGTTGATGTGGTGTATCATATTTATTGACTTGAGTATGCTGAACCATCCTTACATCTCTGGGATGAATCCTACTTGATCATGGTTTATAAATTTTGATGTGTTGCTGTATTCTGTCTGCTAATATTTTGTTGAGGATTTTTGTATCTATGTTCATCAAAGACAGCAGATATCTCTGTTTGCAGATGGCATGATCCTATATATATATAGAAAAACCTAAAGACTTTACAAAAATCTCTTAGAGCTGATAAATTATTTCAGTAAAGTAGCAGGATACAAAATCAACATGCAAAAAATAGTAGCATTTTTATACTCCAGTAGAAAATTAGCAGAAAAAAGAAATCAAGAAAGCAAACCCATTCACAATAGTGACCAAAAAATAAAATACCTAGGAATAAATTTAACCAAGGAGGTGGAAGATCTCTGCAGTGAGAACTACAAATCACTGCTGAATGAAATGAAAGAGAACATGAAAAAATGGAAAAACATCCTATGCTCTTGGATTGGAAGAATTAACATTGTGACAATGTCCATACTACCCAAAGGGATCTACAGATTCACTGTAATCCCCATCAACATACCAATGACATTCTTCACAGAAATAGAAAAAAGAATCCTAATATCCATATGGAACAGCAAAAGACCCTGAACAGCCAAAGCAATACTGAGCAAAAAATAATAATAAAGTTCACAGAAATAGAAAAAAGAATCCTAATATCCATATGGAACAGCAAAAGACCCTGAACAGCCAAAGCAATCCTGAGCAAAAAATAATAATAAAGTCAGAGGCATTACACTACCTGACTTCAAATTATACTACAAAGCTATAGTAACCAAAACAGTATGATACTGGCATAAAAACACTCGAACCTATGGAACAGAATAGAGAACTCAGAAATCACCACATACTTATGGCCAACTGATCTTTGACGAAGGTACCAAGATCATATACCCCGAGGAAAAGACTGCCTCTTCAATAAACAATGCTGGGAAAACTGGACATCCATATGTAGAAGAATGAAACCAGACCTGTACCTCTTGCCATATACCAAAACCAACTCAAAATGGATTAAAGGCTTAAACATACGACCTGAAGCTATAAAACTCCTGAAAGAAAACATAGGGGAAAGACTTCAGGAAGTAGGATTGGGCAAAGACTTTATGAATAAGAGCCTAAAAGCACAGGCAACAAAAGAAAAAAATACACAAATGGCATCATATCAAACTAAAAAGTTTCTGTACAGCAAAAGAAATAATTAACTCAGGGAAAAGACAAACTAGAGAATGGGAGAAAATATTTACAAACTACACATCCTACCAGGGATTAATATCCAGACTATACAAGGAACTCAAACAATTTAACAACAACAACAACAAAAAAAAAAAAAAACCTAGTAACCCATTTAAAAAATGGGAAAAGTTTCTGAATAGGCATTTCTCAAAGAAAGATACACAAATGACCAACAGACACATGAAAAAATGCACAACATCACTAAGCACTGGGAAATGCAAGTCAAAACCACATTGAGATATCATCTCACCCCAGTTAGACTGGCTATTATCAAAAAAACAGAGAATAACAAATGCTGATGAGGATGCAGAGAAAGGGGAACCTTCCTACACTGCTGGTGGGACTGTAAATTAGTGCAGCTACTATGGAAAACTGTATGGAGGTTCCTCAAACAGCTACAGATAGATCTGCCATATGATCCAGCAGTGCCACTGCTGGGTATATACCCAAAAGAATGGACATCATCATGTCAAAGGGCTACCTATATTTCCATGTTTATTGCAACTCTGTTTACAATAGCCAAGAGTTGGAATTGACCTAAATGTTCATTGAGGGGACGACTGGATTAAAAAAAAAAAAAACATGGTATATGTACACAATGGAATACTACTCTGTCATAAAAAAGAATGAAATTTTGCCATTTGCAGCAACATGGATGAACTTAAGAGAAAATCACATTAAGTGAAATATGCCAGGCACAGAAAGAGAAATACAACATATCCTACCTCATAAGTGGGAGCTAAAAATAAAACAAATACATTTTTAAAAGGAAGAAGGAAAGATGCAATGGTCACAATAATACATTGAATTTTCAAAAGGAGAAAATAGAACTGAGTCTACTAGGGGTGGAAAAATGGAAGTGGAGTAGCGAGAAATTGGTAAATGGCCACAAAAATGATTACATTGTGTAATGCTGAATATACCAATTATCCTGATTTGAACACAACGTATTGCACACAGGTATTGAAATTCAACACTGTACCCCACAGATATGTACAATCGTTTCAATAAAAAGTAATTAATTAATTAAAAAAGAACAAAGTTGAAGGTATCACAGTTCCTGTCTTCAAAATATGCTATAAATATATTGAAAAGCTTCTGCACAGCAAGCGACACTATCGACAAAGGAACATAGTCTATAGAATGAGCTACCTATTTTCTAATACCACACTGCCACTTATTAGCTGTACAACCTTGAAAAATAACATAAGTTCTTTGTTCTCTTTCAGCCTCTTTCTGATACTCTTTCCTGTGCTTTCCTAGTCTTGCTCAAAAAAGTGCTGCCCACTCCCATTTTGAGTAATGTTTCTCCTGTGTTCTGTTCTAGTAGTTTCATAGTTTCAGATCTACTCTGCTCTGCTCTGGTCCATCACCCAGTGACATTCCATGGGTAAAAAATGGAACATTGGAGGAGCCAGGGCTTTCCTCAGCTTCTCAGTGGTATTATAGGATTGTTAAGAGCTAAGCTGAGCAGCCAGGTATTGCAACAGTCAATTAAAACAATAAGCCAAAATAAAAGGAACAGTCAATTCTTATCTCTTACTGCAACAGTATCAGAAAGAGGCTGGAAGAGAAAGCCCTGGCTCCTCCAGTGTTCCATTTTTTACCCATGGAATGTCACTGGGTGATGGACCAGAGCAGAGCAGAGCAGAGC